TTTACTTCTTAGCGCACTAAAAAAGGTTTCCAGATGATCCTGATTCAACTTGTATGTCAACAAGTACGATATACCTTTCTCTTTTAATACACTAAATAATTCAAAAAGATTTGTTAAACAAATGATAAACCCGAGAAAACCAGTTTTTCGAGGACTATTTAGAATACATACATTTGTGCAATCTTGCAAGTCTCGAATATACACAATGATCCTGTCTGCATGAAATTTCAATATGTCGAAAGTTTCACTTGATAGAGCCATGTTGCATTTCTTAGGTTTGCCAAACTTACTTCGTACATTGAGGATGTCGAAAGCGTCGTTGAATGATTGGCAAAATAGTGCGGTTTCATCCGGATGTTTAAATGGGCCAGGAACACATTCTTGGCAAAATGTTAGCGCTGCACTCACGCTTTCGCTGAGGGTTTGTGCAGCCAACTTCACATTCATACGCGATTTATGATACATTATGTGTTTTTTCTTTAGTTTTGTAGCACATAACAAACCCTCATCTTCTTGCAATTTCTGCAGAGATACTATATTATCCCAGAAAATACCCTTCCCTTTATACCGGAGTTCGCGTTTGTCGCCCAATGTGTTTCGGACTAATTTCAACATATGGCACGGATCGAAAAAACAAAAAACTTTTTCTTTCGTGACTGGATGGAGGAAGTACGGTTTAAAATATTCCCCTACTTTAAATTGTGCACCTAAATTAGTGCACATGGAGAGATTAGTGCCATCAAACGTAAGAGATGTGCAACATGGCTCCAGTTTCATGAACCAATTGTAAACAGTGCTCTAATAAACTCGCTCTTTCTTTTCCGCTTAATGAATCTATAAGGAAATAACCGATGGGAAGTTTCCAGTGGCCATTTAAAGCCACCAACATAAATACTAATGCGTGTTTCGCTGTTAGAGGTACAGCTGAATCTCCTACACCTAGACCCATATCTACGAATCCCTGAAGTTTTTTCTTTTATAGACATCTCATCTATAACTAAATTACAGAAAATCGGATTTCCCGATTTTTGTACTTTGCATTTTACGGCGTCTAATGCTTCCTTTGTAAAGCCCGGTTGACCGTCCAAAGTTGCATACCATTTTCTAATCGTCGCAGGATCAGGTAAAAAGTTGCAAAATGTTTTGCGAACGTATCTATAAGCCTTCGCCGAATAAAAATTCAGTGTGAGCGCGAATTAAGGCCGGTATTCATAGTCAGTTCTTATTTGAAGACTGTCTTAAGTAATGTCTTAACGCGAATGCAGCCCTTTGATTGGTTCGTGACATCTTAAGACTGTATTTAAGACGATCTTGAATGTAAGAATTGACTATGAATACCCTCCCCCCCCCCGGTCTAATATATGTTCTAAGATAAATACACTTTCTACAGCCATTTTTTTACTGGGACGTATTGCTATTACATTACCACACCTCGAAACTATTGAAAATTACTCATCCCAGCTGGACTTGTCATTCATTTCAAATTACCAGTATATTGTCTGAAGTGCTTTCATCCAGCAGTTGTCTGTTCTTCAAATGTTGTATCATTCCTTCCATCGTCTTGATACGGTTCAGCAATCTCTTTTGTCTTTGCTTTAAACTTTTTATTGTCATCTGCTGTTTTCGCACAGTCACCTTTACTACATCAAAAGTTCTTTTCGCTCTCCTGGGCGTAGCAAAGTGGGGACTTCGAATGTCTCCAACATACCGAGGAAACTGGTAAGATTTCTTCGGTGTCTGCAAACATTCGACATTTCCAGAAGTTTTCGATGTGGATGGCTGATCGAGTGCTACAATGTCGTCTGCAAAAGAATTCATCATTTATTAATGTATCACTGACAATCCACTCGAAACAACGATTTTCAATCGTAAAAATATGGTACAAATTTTACCTTCCATGGATATATCGACATTTCCAGAAGTTTTTGATGTGGATGACTGATCGAGTGCTACAATGTCGTCTGCAAAAGAATTCATTTATTAATGTATCACTGACAATCCACTCGAAAAAAAAGAAAAGTAGCAACAGCACATCATGTACGAGAAGTAATAGCGATAAGATACATATGGTACACATTTTACCTTGTGCTGAGGAATTCTTCCAATACATGTATACGTCTTTGTCAGCTTTCGGAAACTGCCTTTTTTTTATGATTGTGCACGGAACAGCATCGACTTTTGCAACTGCTCGGTTTTTTCTACGGATTATAGCATCTTCCTCAAAATGAATGGAACATAGTTTTGTAGCCGAGTTTAAAACCTTCTCGTCGATTCCACAAAAATCCATCCATTTCTCACGAAGTTCCTTATTTTTCGGAAACCTATACAAAACACATGGCATACATTTAATGCGCACGCGAATAACGTTAAAACATTAATACCGATTAATACACAAAATGTATGAGAACATAACCTACACATCACAAAATTTATCGCTACATTTCTTTACTTACGTAAAATATGAAGTTAATTTATCACGGTTTCCACAGAGTACGCAATATACACACGGCATATTTTCACTTTCAAGTTTGTTGAATTATAATAGCCACTTTATCCAAATCCTGAAAAATTATATCCATTTCACGCTGGAATAACCCTGGTGCTGACGCTACACCATAACTTAAACGATTACTTTTAAATAACCCCTTATGAGTTGCTATCGTGACAAGAGACTTTGATTCCTCATCCAACTCTACTTGTTGATAAGCCTGAGCTAAATCCAACTTGGTAAATACCGTACCTCCACTTAGCTTTGTAAGCAAATCCGATACTCTCAGAATAGGATGTTTATCCACTAATAAATGAGGATTTAACGTAACCTTATAATCTCCGCATAAGCGAATCTGACCATTAACTTTTGGCACTGGCACAATCGGTGTTGCCCAATCACTATATTCAACTGCTTCTAAAATACCATCTTTAACTAAACAATCAATTTCATTTTCAATTTTCAAATTTCGCCCGAAAGGTACCGGCCTTGGTTTACAAAATACCGGACTAACCCCTTCTTTGAGATGCAATTTAAATTTATTTTTCGTATAACATCCAATTTCATTAGAAAAAAGTGACTCAAATCTTTTACAAATATTATTTTGTTTTTCATTAACTGTCCTGACTGACAATTTTTTAGATGCCAAATCAAATTGAATAATATCTAAAGCCTTAAGCCAATTACGACCAACAATAGGTGCGCTTTTACCTGGTAAGACAAACAATTCAAGAACCTTGCTCTATTTTGAAAAGTTACCTTAACCTTCAATATGCCTAGAGGAACTATTGGATTACCTGTATACACTTTAAAAGTTCGCGAACTTGCCAACACTACCGCATTCTCAAACGGTCTAAATCTATCGAAATCTTTTTTCGAAATTGCCGAAATCGGTGATCCTGTATCTATTTCAAACGACAAAAACTTATTACCAACCTCCAGGTTAACTTTTAATGGTTCGATACAACCAATTATATTATTCACGTTACCCTTATTACCATATAAATTATTTAGACTATCATTACTGTCTTCCGATTCTTTAACATTATTCGGATTCACATTTTTAATTTTAACATTACCATTCGCGCGACTTTGTTTTGGTGATTTACCCTTCACGCCTTTGTTTGAAGCCTTAACCTTACAAACTGAGGTTGTAGACTCTAAATGTCCTTTCTTCCCGCACGAATTACAAGAATACCCTTTAAAACGACACTCTTTTGCCATGTGACCTTTCTTCCCACAACAAAAACATGTAACCGTCTGCAAAACCTTTTTCTGCTTATTGATAACATTGAGTGCGTTGCCTGTGCTGTTCACTGAATTAGCCATGTCTGCCGCATCTCGTTCGGCCATCTCCATACTAGTGCTGATTTCCACTGCTCTGGTATACGTTAACTGTTGCTCAGCCAGAAGCCTCTTCTTGATCCTCTCACTGGCCAGACCCCATACGAACTGGTCCCGGATGCAATTTTCCAGCTGCTCTTCAAAGTGACAATGCGTGGAAAGCTTCTTAAGCTTTGCGAGATACGTCTTGATGTCCTCGCCTGTTAGCTGCTTACATTCTTTGAATTTGTAACGCTGAGCTATCGTACTTGGTTGTGGCTGCAGATGATTTCGCATAATTTCCGCGAGACGTTCAATTGTGAGATTTGTCGGCTTTTCCGGCGTGCACAAATTACAAAGAAGTTCATAACCTTCGCTTCCCAATAACGTAAGGAAAAGCGGTACTTGTTTCTCACTCGGTACTTCGTTACCGGTAAAGTAGAGCACTACCCGCTCGAACCATCTCGTCCAATCTTCTTTCAAAGAAAACTCGGAAATATTACCAACTGTACCTCTAACAATGGTGTGAATAACTTGTGGCTCTTCTTTTTTTGATGCTGCCATAAGTTCTGCTCTTGCTTGAGCTAATTGCTGACTTTCCATAACCAATAAGCTTCTCTGATGTTCCTGCTGCTTAGCCCTTTCCGCTAAGACTTTCTCCCGTTCCTCGAGATCCTTTTGAAATTTCAATAAGTCCGTTGTCGACATTTTGTTTCTCAACAGTGTCCTTTAGATTTGCGCGCCTTCCTTAACCTCGTTTATCCTGTGTCCCTGTGACCGCACGTTTCAACTAGATAACGCTGCGTCCCTATGATCGCACGTAAATTTAACCTTGTGTTTGAATGAGTCCCTACGACTGCGCGTTCTTTGTTCAACGCTTATTCCACACACATCGGAACCTTCCTTCTCGATGATTCTTAGGCCCTTTGCCGAAAACTGGTTTTACCTCGTCGCCAATGTAATGTATCTTGATAGGGTTTATCAGGAATAACTCAACAAGAATACTATTGTAATATGCACGCTTTAATAATAATAAATCTCAGAAGCGAGGAGAACAACGAACGCTCGTGGCTAGCGTCCATTACACACACACAAAGAACACAACGGACAAGGAGTGCGCACGCATAACCAATGAACATTAAGGATAAACGATAGCAGCGCTCGCGTACAAAAATAACATGAAAATATATTACAGTAATAAAGTGTGATCGAGCATGTCGAACGCCTTAGTGAAGTCGAAGAAAACGACGAAAGTGACCGACCCTTGCTCAATGTTATGACGTACATAATCTAGCAGATTTAGTAGTGCGGTCTGCGTGCTGTGGTTCTTGCGAAATCCGGATTGTTGTAGATTCAGAAGGTTGTTGTTTTCGAGATATATTGAGACTTGTTGGGCAATCATTGCATCGAGGGGTTTGGCGAGCTGTGGTAGATTTGCCACCGGTCTGGTTTGATTAGGGTTCGCAGGAACGGGTGTTTTATTGAGAGGAACTACAAGACAGCGCTTCCAATCATCCGGATATTTACCTGTGATGATGGAAGAATTGTAGATTGATGTTAGGTACGGTGTTATTTCCGGTAATGAGTCCTTCAGATACACTAATTGTATTCCGTCGAGGCTACGGCCCTTGGTCTTTGGCAACGATCTTCGTAAGGCGTCGATGACCTGTTCGGCAGACAGGGTAGCAAGAGTGAAGGTTGGTGTAACAGCGGATGGCCAATGAGATAGAATGGCAATGAGTGACTCGTCGGAGCAAGAAGGATACGCTGTCGTGATGGTAGTGTAATACTCATTGAGTTCAGATGCGGAGAAGTATTGCAAGGCAGATTGGGATCGTGACTCAAGTTTCGTCGTAGAAAAGCCCATATCTTTACTGGCTCGGTCATATTTGCAACAGACTTTGACATATATTCTTCTTTGGCATTTCGCATTAATATTTTAAGCCTAGATCTCAACGCTCGATACTCGTCGAATAATCTTTGGCTACCCGTACGTCTGGTAATACGATACGCGCGATCACGATTCTTAATTTGTAATTTAATGCTATCGCTCAGCCATGGTGTTGGTGGGCGGACAGTAGTTATCGTACGCAACGAAGCATGTCTTCCTAAGGCAGATAAAATTGCATCATTAAAGATTGATAAAACGTCGTTCGTTGACGGATTTGAATATTCAGACGTTTGTGTAAAATAAGTGGTAGTGGCGAGTACGTTGAGAATATCCGCATTTAGTAATGAAAAATCACAATCTTTAAAATTTCGAGCTGTTTTGATATTTACGGGTGGATCATCTCGACGAAATTTGTATGTGATTTTTAAGAGATCATGGCCGACTGCAAAAGGTACATCAGATTGCGAAAATTCGGTTACTTTATGTTCGGCGTCGGTAATAATAACATCTATCTGAGTATCTGAAAAACGAGTATGATGTGTTGCGGAGTGTGGCACAAGAAATAACGAGTGTTCCGATATGAAGTTGCGAAGGAATTGTGATTCGAAAGAATTTTCGAGGAGATTACAATTTAAATCGCCCATCACAATAATATTTGTATAATTTGACGAGTACTGCTGCAGCTTCTGTATAAATTCGGTGAACATTAGGCCTCCTGGGCGACAATAAATAACCGCCACTAGCATTGGAGATGAGTTTCGTGTCGAATTTCGCGACGTAATATTTAAGATCAAAAATTCGGGGCTGCTAATATCGTCTCCAGAAGAGCTATCGAGTACTTTAGCAATTAACGTGCTATGGACGTAGCAGTCCACTCCACCGCCTTGAATATAACGCGAATTAATGCTGGACTTAATACTACGATCTTTTCTTAAGAAACTATAATTACAAATGTTAACGCATTCATTTGGCATTAACGGAGTGAGCCAAGTTTCGGTAATCGCAAAAACATGAATCTTTTGGTCGCTTAAGACGGTTTCGACAGTCTCGAAATGCGCGCGCAGCGAATTAACATTAGCGTACGCGACGATTAATGACTTCCGCAGTGTTTCAGCGTGGGGATTGATCGGGTTCAGTCAGATTAACTTATTTAAATCGCTATTTGTAGCGATCGAAATTACGAGACTATTTTCGTCTTTGCGCACAAAAATCTGTTCGCCGCGATGCCATACGTGGGTGTAATTTGTTTCGCGTGCCCTCAGGCATGTCGCCTTTAGCAGATTATACGTAGGTTTCGACATCATGTCATTGATGAAAATTGTGCTGGGATTTACATTTGGCCGCAACTCGGGAATAATATCTGCAGTCGTTATTCTTCCTTTTTTTCGCTTGCAACCGATAATGTGATCGCGAATAACTACCGATTTTAAGGTAACGACAATCGAATAATAGGTTTTTTGGTTTTCGCTCGGATTTGTTACCGGATCACCCGCCACTTGGTCGCGATGCGTCGAAACGATTCGACGAATACACAGTATATCAGACGAAAGACCAGCGACATTTAGTTTTAACATGACGCGGCGGACAATCTCCTCGTCGACGACATTGGCGTTCGCAGGTATTCCCGTTATGACAATATCAGAGTTTGGCTGCGCATATGAGTGCAAGTCCTTGAGTGCTTGCAGTTCGGATGCGTTTGCACGACAAGCTGCAGAATTTTCATTGACTGTAACGTTATCGTTCCTTTTCAGAACGCGATTTTCGAATTCTTCGTAATTTTTTCTTTTTCTTAGAAAATTTTCAACTTGCACAGTCTCTGAAACTATCGAACGAAAAATTGGACATTTTTGCAACTGGTTAATGTCGCAATATCAGCCATAAATTATTACTATAATTTCACTCGGCCAAAGTGTGTCCTTTATGCCCGTATCTGCCTCTAATGTAGATTAACTTTAATGTCTCTAATTCTTAGAACTAGAAAAAGATGGAGAGAGAGAGAGAGAGAGAGAGAGAGAGAGAGAGGGTGTTATTTGAAACGAGATTGAAATTAAATTACATTAATAGAAACGGGTTTTAATTGATCTATCTCGGAAATGTAATCGTCTCTGGCAATTCTACGTTTATACTTACCGTGTTTTCACAAAGGTGTGCAACCGCGATTTGGAAACTCGAGGGGAGGTGCCGGTCCACTGTCTATGCCAGTTCGATAATGTAACCGTTTAATCGATGCTAAGCAAGTGAGTAGAGTCGAAAAAGGAAGCTGATGAAACTCATGGAAATGAGAGACTCGCCTACTTTTGGAGCAAACAATACGATTGACTAGCTATAGCGTATACTACTGCCACCAAAAAAGTAGTCGAAAAATAAGGCCTATCATTTATTTTATTATATGTGTATATAATTGCTAGTTAAATATATTTTTTTTTATTTTTTGTTATCTTTTCGTTATCTTTTCTTAAATTCTTAAAGGGAGAAAACATTAAATTTTATTAATTCTTAGTTATTATAGAATTAATTTTATCAATTCTTATTGTTTTGTTACTCGTCTTTGTTTGCTAATTTTTCTGGAAAAAGTCTAGTTGTATTGATTGGAATTTTTGTGACAAAAGTGGACAAATCAGAATTTTATAGTTAAATCTATTATAATTCTAAACAATCAAATGTTAAATTACATAAATACTGGATTTCTGATTAATATGACCAGAATCTACTTTTTCAATGAAAAATTGTTTTCATTTTTTTTAATACTAAGTTTATAAAATTTTGAATTATATATTTGAAATTACATAGACAGTTGTTATATTATGAAAAATTCTATCATGATGAGACACTGAACTCGCGCATTGAAAAAAAAAAAAAATTTTAGTAACTATAAATTAACAACTCTTACAACTAGTTTTACAAAGTAATAAGAATTACGCGTGTAATGTAGTACTAATTACTATATTTTTATAGTACTATACTATATTTTTATGATATTTACTACTACTTTAGTTCTTATCACTTGCAACTACTTAATTTTAGACATTTTCACATTTGTCTACCAAACAGTTAATGTCTTGGCTAATTACTTTCTCTTAAAATTTCCATTAAACTGAGCAGTGTGTGAGAGAGAGAGAGAGAGAGAGGGGGGGGGAGGGAGGGAGGGAGAGAGAGAGAGAGAAAGAGAGAGGGAGAGTGAGTGAGTGTGTGTGTGTGTGTGTCGTGAAACCAAATTAAATTAAATTAGAATAACTCTATGTCCTTGATCGCAATGAATGCTCCTCGTGTTCGTTCGCGTCGGACGGTGAGTGCGCCGGCCCTGCTTACCTTCTGCGGATCGTAATTCGCTAACTTTATCTTTTAATAATTCAAAAAGTAAGCGTCGGATAAAATTTTCGTAAAGGAAAAATCGTCTCAGAATTCAGTTAGGAACACGTCTTTGCAAGGACACGGGGTCGTTCTGAATCACCCTGTATATATAAAGAATATAAGGATTAATTAAAAATATTTAATAAAATAAATATTTAATTTTGTGTAAATAAAAAATATAACATTAAAATTATGTTTAATTATTTTGTGTCAAATTTATAAATTTAAAAATCAAGTGCACTTTTATTAGATTCACTTGTGCATCCAATGCCGGGTGTTATTGTGTCATCTTGCTCTCGTTGAGACGTATCTTCAAATTCAGGTGGCAAATGTAAAACCTAAAAACAAATAATATAAAAATTTATATGATACAATGCTCTAAGTTAGAAAATTTTTGTTTTCTAATAAAACATTAAAATCTACTAACTTCTATAAGAAATTTTTTACGGCGTAATTTGAATGCTAGATCTTTGTGTTGTAACTTGCCGTGTGACAAACCATTTAACGCACACAATTTCTTAATGTGCAAAAGACCATGATACTCCTTATACAATGAATTAAGCGCTTTCGTAGATCCCGCAAATGATTCCAATGCAATTGCTATATCCGATAAATGTTCAATTCTTTCGATAATGCAATTCTAGAAAATATAAGCTATAAGAAGGTCGTCGTAAAGAAAATAATTTTTCGATACTTACGCTATTGAAATTATTAACTGGTATTGTTACTACGCCAACCGCATAGGAATTTCTTAAAAGTGCTCTGAAGCAATATAAGAATTTTAATAGATCACAATCAGAATATTTCTCTGTGTCACTAAGCCATAATCTTGATCCTAGAGAATAAATTGCGATTCTTAAAATTTTGTTTGTTTTTTGTTGTGATGTTTCAGAGAGAAAATATTGTCCATCGCGTAAAGTTTTTTCTATGGTACATAATAAGTCAGTATATGCAGCATTCTTAAATGTTCTATTTTCATTTAGTGTCATTTCCTCATTAAATTCCCATTGTTTTATGTCAGCATATTCTAAGAAATTCTTTTGCATCTGTTTTGTAAGATCGTAATAATGACCGAATATTTGACCTCCCGTAGGAGTTGAATCTACTACTTTCATATTCTGATATCGCCAAGCTATTTTCATTGGCTTATCTTCATTATTTGTAGTTTTCGTATGTTCCTCTGAATTATCTATAACTGCAGGCAATCCTGATACAAATTGAGAAGGTTGAACATCTTGAGATGCAATCAGTACAGGTTGAGACACGACTATTCCCTCTGCCATAAAGTATTTCAATATAGTTTTAGCGTAGAAGCTATACTTGTCCTCTTCTGAAAATAAATATTTCTTAAAAACATATATATATAAATAAACATTTTATTAACCCTTCAGACTCTGCATACATTGTAATGTACACTAAATGAAGATATTAACTGATGTTCAAATTATTTAATTCTACATCATTTAAAATCTAATGTACATAATAACGTTGGAAAAAGATAAAAAATTAAATAAAATTAATTGCTTAGCATGAATTACTTATTAAAGTGCGCATAAATTGAATTAAAAAAAAACCTTCTTTTAATACGATTCCATAAAATTAGGTCTGAAGAAGTTGAATATATACACTACCGCTTTTAGTTATTTGAATGACAGATATTTTATGTTTTACCTCCCCCCCAATTTTAAAAGTTAAGTAAATATCCTAATCGTTGTTAACATAAATAATACTTTATTAGAATAATTGAAATTATTTACGTTGTACATACTCTAAATATAAATTATTAAAATAACGTTTATCGAACTATCCTTAATCGAGAGATTATACTGAGTATTTCTCATTATATCATTGTTCTATTACGGTCTATTGTAATTACGGATTATTTTTATTTATAATTATTGTTATGTTTTTAACGGAAGGAAAAACAGAATTCTTATTTGTTTGAGAATATTTTTAATGATAGGAATACAAAGAGTTATTTATGAGTGTGATTCAGGAGACAGCCAAGAGTAGACATTTAATTTATCAATAGTTAGTTGGTTGCTAAACAACTTGTGGCTCCGTTCATGTCATAGACGTCGGTAACAATGGTCGCGTTCAGCAGACTCAACAGTTTTACAACTGTTTTATGTATTCTTTGTTGAGATAGGACTATTCCTTTAGATCTAAAAGTATAATCCAATCAGAGAGACGAATCATAAAACGGTTGCAAAACTGTTGAGTCTGCTGAACGCAGCCAATTATAATAGGTTGTAGTAACAAAATAAAATGGTAGGAAATACCCAATATAATATCAATTCAAAAATAGTTAGAGATGAAATTTTGATCATTGTCTCAATAATATTCAAATTTAGAATATAAATAAAAATTTAGATTATTGAAATTTACAATTCAATCAATATACAACAAAAATAGCAATTATTTTAATGCAATTATTTTAATAAAATATTATTTGTGTTAACAATAATGAGATAGGATTACTTAGCTTTTAAAAGCAGATAATGAATAATTCTCTAAAAGTAATTACAACATCTATCAAATCTTCAATAACCCAGATATTGCCAGTTATTATTAAAGAAACATAAATATAGAAATATACATACGAATTAAAAATATCGAGCCAATAGGTAAACCTCCACCTATTGTACTGTCTAAAGAAGGTATCCCTGTTGAAATAAGCAACTGTGAATTTCGTAACGAAGGTCTCGTGCCTGGTATTATCAAAAGTCTAGTTTTAAATCCACTCATTATTTTTCCTTCTAACATCCAGTAAATATCCCTGAAATATAATTTTTTAAGAATATTTAAACATTGCAATCTAAAACTGTGTTTATGAAAGCTTATTTAAGTTACATTTAGGAAAAAAATAAAATATTTACAAGTATGTAAGTGTCACATGTGACGTCTTGTTTAATAATTATTGTATTGTAAAAAAAATTAAATTAATGACAAAATATATATATATTCTTGTGTAAAATATATCTTATTAACTATAAAGATAAAATAAATAATTTATTTGCTAAGAATAATATTGTAAATAATTTAAAAATCAAGTGGTTAAGTTAAAAATAAAAATAAGAAGAAGGAGCATATACCACACGCTGGTTCAAAGTAGCGAAAATCTCGTATATTTAATAATATTATATGATATACATATATATATATTTTTTATCATATTCATATACATATATATATATAATTTATATCTCATTAAAAATATAAGTATTATATCTTATAAGTAAATTTTGAAATCTTTTCTCGATGCATGTTGCAAGATATTTATTGTACCATATTAAAATTCTTTTCTATTCATTAAACAAATGTTAAAATTAAATGTATAATAATAAGTTTCAAACAAAATGTTTTATTTATCAACACTTAATATTAAAAAACTCTTTGTAATATAATACATCAAATTACATCAATCTTGTTTCACTGTTTAAGCACTATTTTATGTCGATCTGATAGATTTCCTAACCTCAATTGAGTCGTCAATTTTAACGCTTAATATCTCGCTTCGCGGGCAGTTCCGGACTTTTTTCTGCCAGATTCTTTTATTTTATGCAAAAACACGTCGAATAAGCCTAATTTGATCGAAATCAGAGATGAGATAGTTCTTATAAAAAATTACCCTTATTTAATTTTTCATCTATATAGATTATCTAATTTCTGCTACTTTCAATAAGTTAAGGCCGCAGGCCGCAGCACATACTTTTGCATGACGCATGAGAGAATAAACTAACCAAAATTCTTCTCTTTCATACAGTGGGAGAAAAAGAAGGATTATGATTAGTTGATTCTTTTTGCGTCATGCATTAAGCGTCATGCAAAAGTGTGTGCTGCGGCCTTTATTTTTCATTTTCACACGAGGATACCGAGTCTATAATGCTGATTCTATTTTGTCAGTAGTTGGAAATCTTAAGTCTTAATTCAATCTTTACCTTCTTCTTCTTCTTTAATTAGTGTCCCACGCCTCCCAAAATAGTAATAAAGGAGGTTGATACGACCAGATCACGTTTTTTATTATGAATAACGTAGGGTTCACACTGCGTACGATGATACGATATTCAATAGAAGAGCTTGTTTTCTTCTTCTTATTTGGTTAATGGCACCCGCCTCCAAAACAGTATAATAGGAGGTCGATACGGCCAGCTTGTTTTCTTGATTATCCAAGTACGCTGGATTCGGAGCAACTCCGAGCAGCTTCCGATCCGAGCACTTCCGAGAGACAAAACCAGTGTTGCCACATCGAGGGATTTATCCCTAGATTCGGGGATTTTGAAGGTTATCTGGAATCGAGGGAGGGATTCGGAGAATTTTAATTTATAGGGGGATTTTATATGGTTCCCGTAAGTAATAGATCGCGACATCGCCAATCCACGCCAATCATTCTTTCAATAACAGGGGGTCTATTCTTGAAAAGAAACGTATACGAAAAATTAGGAAAATACTATAGTATACGTTACGTATACTATAGTATTTCCCTAGACTTTCGTATACGTTTCTTTTCAAGAATAGAGCCCCAGTTAATGGCCCCGTTAGGGTCATTCGGGGGTATTTCCGTACGTAATCACTGCTCGGCAAGCGATTGGGTGTGGTTAATTAAATCTATACGAAAGATCAATCATGTTCATTTGCTCGGCGAAGAAGTTATTAGGTGCATCCAGAAGTATGACCGCTCACTTAGCGCTCAATGAGCTTTTTTATCTAATTGGCATATTCCATTATGTAGGATTCACACTGCGTCCGACATCCGACATACGACGTCCGATATCCAATAGGAGAGCTTATTTTCTTGATATATAGCTAACAATATTTTGTAACAAGCTCTGCTATTGGATATCGTACCGTCGTACTTCGGATGTCGTATTAAAAAAGAATTAAAAAATTAAATTAAAAATTTTTTTTGGTTGGAATATTCCCAGATAGACAAATGTATGTACGTAAACTTTATGGCAACTTCACTTTTATATTAGAATAATTCAATGCACAATATTGCAGCAACATTTAGTAAATCGGAAGACGAAATATCATTACGCAAATATAACGTAAATATGAGAAACAAAGATGTGATTTTGTTTTTCTCATATTTGCATCATGATATTTCATTCCCTGATTTACTAAATATTGCTATTTCATCGTCATATGAATATTGTTCTAATGTAAGAAAAATATTACCGCAACATTAGTTTCAACGATATTTCATCATCATATGAATATTGTTCTAATGTTAGAAAAACATTACTGCAACATTAGTTCCAACGATATTTTATCCTTATATCAACATTGTTCTAATGAAATAAAAATATTATCGCAACATTAGTTGTAATGATATTGCAACTCCATATCAACATTACTGAAATCTCTAAATGTACGTCAAAGTTTGTTTACGATAACGTTATATACAACGTTAACAACTACATATTCCAAAATGTTACATGTTGTTAAATATCATTTCAATAACGTTGCTGGAATATTATTTTGCTTACTGGGCAACTGTCAAGAACGCTTGACGGAGACCAAGAACACTTGACCCCCTTTTCGCGTCGGATCACCGGAGCTAGGATCGGAGCGGAGTTCGTAATGGAGCGGCGGTTAGGATAGAAGAGAGCTTCGAAGCAATAATTAACGCGTTATATACTAATTATTGCTCCAGCTCGTTTTATTACGGTCTTTTCCGTTATCGCTCGGCGGTCGGCAATTCTTGCGGAGGGGATTGTCGATCGGCGATGTTCGGTCGCGTTTGGTCGGAGCGGCGGATAGCGCAAAGCGCAGATCGTTCGGCGATCTTCGGACGCTTTCGGTCGGAGCGGCGATAGCTACTGTCGACGAGGCTTTGTTACAATAGATTCGCAATGGATGAATAATGACCACATACGATATACAATAAGTAATTCCCGCTGCCGGGAACGATGCAGTCCGAGGTGCATCGTTACAAACCTATGTGTAATGGTAACAAATTACTTTTCGAAAATGTCTTTTCAATCTTAGCATTTAGTTAATTATTATTAGTCATAAAAAATTGCAACGTTATTAAATATATTATAATGGTTATAAAAAGTAACAATAACAGTAACAGCGTTATATACTTACATCCATTCCCTGAAAATAATGAGCAAAGAAGAAAAAAAAGCTGACAATTGCAATATATCTACTATTGAGAATTATGAAAATAAATTTAATGACATAATCAAAGTGTACAGGCATCATAATATTAAGTATAGAGTTAGGTTAGGATACTTTGTAAGAAAATACCCAGACAGCATGCTTGTCAGAATGAAAACTTTAAGAGAACTTTTTCAAGAGAACATTTAGTTATCTTTAAAATAATGTCTAAACGATATCTCATAATAATCATTTATTAGAGAATCTACCAAGAGAACTCTTTAAGATATCCGATTTGAGAGATGTCTTGAAATTGTTATCTTTATGATGTCATGCTAAATGATATTAGTTTGTTTTCTCATAAAAGATATCAATATGTTGTATGATTTTTGACAGTTCAGAAACGAGACATAATTATGATATCTTTTATGAGAAATTCATTTGATGTTACTTATTAGGAAAGATTCTGTTTCAGAGATGCCAGAATGTTTGTAGATTATCGCGCCAACGTTCTGTGAATTCATAATCTTGCCATTCACTTCATCAAGGCGAGGAGTGCAGTGATACTTGTAGCAATTTCGGGTGGGATGCACTAGTGTACACCAGTGTACACTGGTGCATGTTAAGTCCGTGTACAATGTACATGTCGTGCATATGTTATATCCGTGTACTACCGCGGTGGTAGATTAACAGTGTACAACGGTCTTAATATGCACCAGTGCACACTCATTTTCCCAGCCGAAATCGCTAATAGATACGTATCAGTGCATTCCTCGCCCTGATGAAGTGAACGGCAAGATTAATTAATTCAAACCTGTAAACATAACCTGTAAACTCTCTTTTTAAAGAAATCTATATATTAACAGATTTCTTTAAGACATCATAAATATGAATATATATGTTAATCATAAAGATGTCCAATTTAAGAAATCTTTCATATATCATTTTTGTGACATCTTTCTGTTCTCAAAAAACGACGCATTAGATAACATTCAGTTATCTTTATGTGATCTTTAAGAAGTTTCTCTAAGTTATCAGATTCAGAAATAAGATATCTTTTAGAAACCTTTTGGATAACATATTGTTATTTGGGTAGATATAGGATATTTTTAAAGATTTGTAAAAATAAATACATATCCACTTTATCCCACAAAAGCAAGCATCCATTTTGCGTAACTGTTATTTGATCTGTAACCTGATCTCTAATAAGTTGATGCCTCGATAAATTAATTTCAATATTGGACGACATCTTTTTTCATTTTCCCGCTTCACGTTTATCCGAGATACTTTCTTTTCCCTACCTTAGCGAAGTAGGGAGAAATAGTCACTCTCGAAGTGGTTAGGGTGTGTTTTCGAACGCAACAATCGAAAGTCCATTGAGAGCATATATGTAATACTACTATATGGCTAGATGAGAGAGAAGTCCATGTCCCAGAACCACGGTGCGGGAATATACTTCTCTCTCTTTCTCAGCGTACTTTGAACGTTGTGCGCATGCGTCGGATTCATCCCCTCCATCAATAATAAATAGAAGGATAAATATACATATATGTATAAGGAAGAAGGAAAAAGTGATTGATTCCGCTTCAGGGAATCATATAACC